ATATATATATATATATATATATATATATATATATATATATATATATATATACGTATGTGTGTGTGTGTGTTTATATATATCTGTATATAAATATATTATATATATATATATATATATATATATATATATATATATATATATATATATATATATATATATATATATATATATATATATTGTTATATATGTATATATGTATATATTGTGTGTAATGTGAATTATATGTGCGTGTAATGTGATTAAACACTAAAGTTCTCAAACAGGATGTTTTGTAATTCAACCCTAATATGTGTAAATTTTTTTTGATAAATCATTATATTGATACTGTCATATATTGATGTTGTCAATCGACCATATATTACAACTCAATCAACATAACCTTTTTGTGAGTCATAATTAGAGGGAAACTTGACAGTATTCACAAGCGAGAGAATAAAACAAACAAAATTTTGCGTTCTCTCAACCGTTTCAATGCTTCAAGAAATTTACTGTCACGAGAGAGAAAGAGAGAGAATCAAAGTAAAAAATTTAATACTATATTTCACACTCGTGGAACTCAAGTGAAATATCTCAAGTGTGCGCGAAATTGGTGAAATGCGCGATTTCAAGTGAAATAATCGTACCGATTGCGGTGTTTCTTCTCGCGCTGCTGTTCCCCGCGTTCAGCCGCTTCTCGAACGAATATAACACTACCACGACTCCGGCATTCGCGCGCGAAAAACGACGACCCGCCGATGACAATGTCGGGCGCGACCCTGTCTCGAGGTTTTCACCACGGCCACCAGATGGCGGCGCGATCACGTGCCCGCAGATAAACAGCTCGTACTACGGCAAAGAGACGCGAGCCGTCGCGACGAGGCAAACGGAGCAATTACATGTGCATTAATCGCGCGGTGCGTGTCGTGTTCAACGGCGTGAACTCGTGTGTGGCACTCGAGGGCCTGGACCTACGACACCAGGAGAGTCTTCATGGACATTTGGCGGTCGTAAAGTCGCGTGGATAGCTGTGGGAAACGCCGCGGCCGTAACAGCAGCAGCAGCAGCAGCAGCAGCAGGTAAGAGAATACCTCGCGAGAGGTGTGCGCGTGCACAATGAACACGTGGCGTCGCGACGGCGCGTCGGGGACGCGCGACGACTGGGCTCTGTGTTCCTGCAACGCGACCGTCGCGACGTCGTGATTGACAGCTGACCGCCAAATATGACGAGCGACACGTCGCGCGAGTCAAGGCCGTTCCAGAGGAGACATGTTGCCGCTCCGTCTCGATCTCTCGAAGTCGCGCCGCGCGCGCTTCTCGCGGGTGTTCGAATGAATTCGAACGGGCGATTTTACGCGCGAGGAGAGAGAACGAGTGAGAAGGGCGGAGGAGGAGGAGAGATCCTTGTCGCGGAATGCGAGGCGTGTTCACAGCGCGATCGAGATGTCGAGACGAACGGAGAGTTCGTCGCGGTGCTCGCTTGTTGTTCGTTTTCCGTTATGTAAGCGCGTCCCTGCTTCGCGAGCGTGCAAACGGACGCCATCTCAGCCGACGTGAGGCGCGGATCGCGTCAGAATTCGAATGGACGCACCGCGCCTACGACGTCGCGCGAATTCGAATATGATGTGAGATTGAACGGAGCTCGTTACAGATGATACGAGTTTTTTTCTTTTCTTCTTCTCATAAAATACTGAAGCCGCTTGATTTTGACTTTCCATGCGGAAGTATAGTATATTGAGAAAATAATACTTGAAAATATTAATTTTCACGAATAATTGTGGGAAAATTAAAATTTTAATATAAATTAAATAATTAAACAATTAAATTTATTAAAACAATTTAATTATAAACTTAATAAAAAAAATTACATAATTAAATATATTTAATAATTTAATTATAAATTTAATAATATATTTTTATATATAAATATGAATAAAATTTAAATTTTTATATCTGTAGAGGAAGATTTATATTTCTCTGTGAGATAAAATTTATATTTCTGTAGAAATAAACATTCACCCCACAAATAAATATTCAAATTAATTTTTTTTTGAGTGTAAGTTGCGAAACGGTGAAATTGGAAGCTCACCAAATTGTCAAAATTGATAGTCATTACCGATAGACACTTACGTAATAATAATATAATTAGTAATATAATTGGGAGCACTGAATAATAAATAATAATAATTAATAGTAATGATAATTAATAGTATAATTATTAACCAAACTCGTTACAATAATGACTCTCAATTTTGACAGTTTAGTGAGTTCCCAACCTCATTATGTCTAAAGTGTTTTGCAGCCCACTGTATACATCGCTCTACTGTCGCTACAAATAAGATTTGACCTTCTGGTCATATTTTGCAACGATATCTGTGCGATATTTCACATTAGTAACTTACCCAAGAAGCAGTATTATATATCAGAATAAAAATTTTGAGTCTACATTAATTTTGAACTCGAAAGACTAAAAAATAAAAAAAGTTCGAAATGTATTTTATTATACAATCTATTATTCTACCATAATGTCGTAGTTAATTGCTGCTATTTTCTTTACATTGAGGCTTATTTATAGGTGTGCTATCGAGATCTATTAGATTCAATTATATTGTTTGAATTTTCTTTTTTGTAGAATTTTAATAATTTACAAAATTGATATTTTGTGAACTTATATCTGTTTAAAAGTATTTAATCTCTTTATTCTAGAGAATAAAGAGAAAATTTAAATTTTATTAAATTTTATTTAATAAAGAAAGTCACCTCTCTCTTTCTAATTTTTCGTGTGGAAACGTGTTTTTCTCCGCATATTTTCTGTCGATCTATTTCTCAGCTCAAAAATGGAGTATGCGTGTTATTACGATATTGTGATATTAGATATCGGTCGTATATATTGAGCAAAGTAGGTCTCTTAACAGCATCCAATGGCGCGTCGGTGGAATACGATTTTGTTGGGGAACTTGGGATTTCGCGTAAGAGTTCGCCGAGTATTTATGACCTGTCCAGTGACACGATGTACGCGCGTGGTGTGCGGCTTTCGACTGCAATCAACTAACATATATATCTAGTGCGTGTTACACAACTGAAAAACCTTTACGTAGAAATTTCTTTATGCAGCAAGAGTCAACTTGGGTTCACTCGTGTGTAAACATAATTCGGGTTTTCTTTTTCTGCCCGCTCTTTTAAGCAGTAGTGAATTTTACAATTGTATAATGAAATAATTTATTATTAGGAAACTCACTTTTGCATAGTATATAAGCGTTTTAGCAG